ATTATCACGGACAAGTGTTATGCAAAATAGCTTTGAAGTGCACAGGGACCACTTTCGAAAAATGCAAAAGGGCACACGCATCAAGGATCCAAACCCTCGACCGCGCATCCGTGAGCCCTACGACGTACCCACTCGGCCATGCTGCCACGATCGTGTCAGCCTTACGCCGCCAATACGTAGTGTCCCAAAAAGCTCCGTAACTTCTTTCTGGGAGGTCCGCAGCAGATATGGAAGACGGTTTCGTAATTCCCGTCCGAAGACCTTTCAGCCGGTATACATTTCATTTCAAATGGCCACTTCGACCTACCATCCTTCCCTTGTAAGACTGAGCCCGTACTGAGGGGAATCACTCCTTCTCCCAGGTTCGGCCTTTAATAAAAGGCAAAATGGCGCTGGTGTCGCGAAATAAATGTCATATTCCTGATCAGAGCATCAAACAACCTCTATTGATGCATGTTTTATCGATTTTGGGACAAACGATGTGGCGCCAAATGCCACCAACGTCTAAATAAATGTCATATTCGTGAACACGATTCCAGTTAACCCCTTATAGAAGTTTTCATCAAATTTGTTAAGAAAATTGGTGACGTCATGTTGGTGCCTATTGGGGCCAAACGGCGCCAGCGCCTAAAAGTGAATGTCATATTCGTGATCAGGACATCGTATAACATCTATAGGCAGAGTTTCAGCAGAAAATTTTTCTTGAGTTTCTGGGGTAGGAATAGTTCAATAATGTCCGAGAGTTTTGCCTGGTTGAAATCCCAAGCCGCTGTATTGTCATCCTATCTCGTGGCACACATTTTTATGAGGATATTTAAAAATATTACGCGATATATTGCAGGCCTTCACACCGCATTAATCTTTTTGATTCAATGTTTTCGAGGGTTTTCAAAATCTTTTTTGAAGAACGTGATGTATAACTGGACGCTTCGGCAAAAGTTTTATACGAACACGAATAGAATCGAACATAAATCTATCAGCTTCGGGTTTGAATTTAGCTGTAGGCATAAATGACAGCGTGACCGGCCGTGCTGCAAAACTTTCTTTCCACTTGTATTGCAGAAGTCAGCGTTTAACCCCAGTAAAATCGCTCCCTATTTTACGTACTTCTTCTTTCACCACCTGCTTTTCACTTCCTTTGATTGTTCTCATTCTTCTTTCTGTGTAGAGCAGAAGGCTTATTGAAGTTCCCTTCAGTGCCTGGCTGTAACCATGAACCGTCTATTACAATGAAACCAGTATTCACCACGGTCCGTGTTTGGTACCCATGTCACCTCGTTACTTTGACTTGATAGTTGAATAAAATGAACATAGTCTAGTTTGTAGGCTGCTTTCCTTTCTCAATGCATGGATCCTGTCCACTTGTTATGGGCCAATTTACCAGTTCACATCGAAAAGAAACCAGAAACTCGACAGCTTCTGCAGTTAATGAGGTAAGGATTCTACTCGTTCTTTACTGGTTGGTGCACCTTGAAAGTACAACGTATATCACTTAATAACATTAGACTTATTCGTCCCTCTAAGCTTTTCAGCCAAAGCATGCGTGGAGTATATTCTACTTGCTTCGTAATCTACTAGGCATGAGAGAATCGGAACGCTCCTAAACCTCATGTGTTATGAGATCTGTACTAAAGTGTTAATGAGTATTCATTTATTGGCGCGCTTGTATAACAGCTTTTGAGACATGGCCTTTTAACGATGAAAAGGATAAACTGTTCTCCAATAATCAGCCCTTTTTGGTATGCAGCACGCATTCTACTTCGATTCAGAGTCGTAGTGACTTATTGAATGTGATGAATACGATGACTTCCGGGAGCCAATATTTAAGCATGTTCTTATGCCTCCAGCTAGTCCCGGTACCAGTTTACGCCACGCTAGAATGCTCGGTGCTGTTCGGAAACCGATACAGAATTTGATCCCCGGTGCGTGTGGTAAGCGTGACGCTTGTCACTACACCAGCTCCGCCTTTTGTTAGCAATCTCTTGATTAAGTGGCATTGACACTTCCAGTAAGTTAAGGTTACTTGTTTACAAGTGTGGTCTGAAGAAGTTAACCTATAAACCAAAATGAATGGGTTCTCTTTAACATTTCAGTGGAGGAGATAATCCAAAAAGTCCGCTTGTGTGTGTTTATACACCTTGATATCCCGAGAATGGGGAAGGCGTGGCTGCGTACTTCACTTGAACTTTGCGTTGTTTGATGCATTGTTTGTGGGGTATCTCCATTTGATAGAACTATTATCCTGTCCTGTTGGACAAAAACATGGAACAGTTGTTCCAAAACGGCAGTATCCCAACAGAAGCACAGCTGCCACTACCTCCAAATGGGGTATGCATTCGCGCCTTCTCCATCTCCGAGATATGGAGATACTGTGTGCATACGTATGCACACGTACATATGTACGTGGGCGAAAAGTTTTGGAAGAGTCGAAATCCTCTAATTTTTGATAGTTTTTATGGACTTTTTGGTCGCGCGTGGAGGTACTGCTTCCGCAAATAAATTTTTTGGGGAAAGACCAACTGAAAGAAAAAATCAATAGTCCTCGGAACAAAACGCACTATAGCGACATGACATACTGGCGTTGGAAGCGTGTATATAGATCCTGCAGGGTCCGTAAGGGAAAGAATGCCCGGAAGAGTTCATTATTATATTATTCGTTCCACAAGCCAAGTAATACTCATTCGTGATCGCGTGCCTTTGTCACCGCACGCCCTGGTGAATGGCTCAGTGCTGTGATGACTGCCAAAACGCCGCATTTACTGTACTCTTATATTAGTCATTCAAAATTCGTGTTTAGAGTGGTGCAGCCCCAGTGGTGCGACCACGCCACGAACACTTTCTGAATAAGTATGCTGAACTTATGAAGAGTAAAGGCCTTCTTCCCGAGATCTTCTTAGTCCATCAAACGCCCAGGTAGTTCATCAATATTTTTTTTCTGCAGTCTTAGTCTCAGTTTTCCTCCTAATTTTATTGTGTTCAAGTTCTCAATACGTTGACGAAGACGGTGATGTGGCACACGAATTTTATGCTGAACATCAATCTCTAGACGGCCAAGTGCGGCGACTTCATCGAGTTGTGAGTAATTTACGACCAAAGGTAAGCCGTGACACTTATTATTCATGTAGGCGCGGAGTAGATCACCACGTCAAGGATTGGTCAATCCATAGGATTGTGTTCATACTTTGCGGTAGCAATATGAGTGAGCGTCAGCGTCTTGAGCGACTATGAAAGCGTAGGTACTGATCTAGGAATTTGAGCATCTCCAGTGTTTTCAGCGAGTATCGATACCTACACTTTCTTAGTCGCTCAAAACGCTAGTGGACGCTTGAAAGCTAGATCGGTACGCGTGTTTTCCTAGTCGCTTGAAATGTTGACAGGAGCCCAACGCAATGTAGGCTGGAAGGAAGCGTAAGGCTGCGCCCATACATTGCGTCGGATACGGCATCGTTTTCGTGGGGAGACGGGCAAGAGAATCGTAATTTGTCGCTCCGCCGCCCGCGGCGATGGGCGCGCAGTTTCTTAACTCGTGTTAACCTGTCGATTGGAGCACCGGACTTCATGTAGACCCCGTCATCGTAGACATTCATGACTATTTTCGGTTCTGAATTGCTTGTTGTCGCCATCCTCTACCTGGAACCATCGTCATTTGCGGGCGGCGCACACGACGCCCACCAACGCGGCGAATTACGATTCTCTTGTCACTGCCCATTTTCGTGAGCAGTTTTCTTCACAAACTGCCCGCGTAAACGCAGGCATACGCTGGCGTTCGCTAGATCTGGCATACGCTGGCTATAATTTTCTAGTTGCTGGTGCTGACATACGCTGGAAACGCTGCTGTAAGGTGGCGTACGCTGATGCAAAGTATGAGGGCAGCCTAATAAGTCGTGCTTGAATCTGAGCACGCCATCGCGTTGTAATCATTTCATAAAAAAATACGATCCCTTCCTAATTCTATCCTCGAATACGACCCCTTCCCTCCCCATGCTACCTACCACTTTCCTAGATTTTCCCAACTTCCTACCACTTTTTCCATTTTTTCCCGAGAAATTTCAAAAATTTCCAGTTTTTCAGCCGAGAATTTCCGTCGAGCGGGGTCAGGATCCAACTAACATTTTCTTGGCTTGGCAGTCGCTCTCCCAATAACGACCCAATACGACCTCCGCTCCCTCGCGTCAAATACGACCACCCCTCGACGATGGCGTGCCTGGCTTGAGAGTGGCATACCTTTTCGTGCTCTTGGGCGATGTAGAGTTGCCTACTGAGTCCATATGTTCCTTTTACATCTACAACTGCCTACTTTCAATTCTTAGTGGTTCCCATGTTTCCGCACATGTATCGATTACTTTTCTTTGATGCAGGGCTTTGAACAGTACGCGATCCCTCGACTTAGTCCAGATGTGCCCGTTGTAATGTGGGAGGTGGAACAACAGAGTTGATCACTGTGCAACGATTTCCATACTGGACTGATCTCTGGATTCTAGAAATTTGCTCGACTTATCAAATAACAGGTGGTGTGAATTAAACTCGTCAAATGTTTTATTCATCAATTGTATAAATGTATATGATGTGATGTATATTTTTCACCGTTTGTTAGAGTGAACTATTCATAAAAGATTCTGACTGGAATAGTTATGCTGTAACACATAATCGACCCGCTGTGGTCACTGGCTAACAAGGAATGAACCTCGTAACACGTCTATCTCTAGAAATCTGATTGAAGATATATGAAACGTCAAGGAAGGAACCGGTTTTGGGCTAGATATAGTCCCGTTTAGCAGCAACGACATGGATGTTGCCATTGGGACGACCCATGACATGCGTGTCGAATATGTAGCTATCTTGTAAAAGCTTCTCAACAGCTAATGCCTTCCCAACAGAGCGATCAATCCTGGATAATCGTTCATTAAAGATTCTTTTTGATGACTTCTACCTTACATGTCTTACCCTTCAAGTGTTACATCCGCACTTGGATTATCGCATATCAGGCGAGCTTGTCGTTGGCAGCGGCGCTCCTCTACTCGACTGCAAATATTCCGTGCTAACTGTATGATATTCTGATGAGACGTGACCTACTGTTTTGACAATGAAAAAGTATGGAGTTGTGGAGTTGTTCTTCTTTAATTCCACTGGAGGTTAGAAATGATCTTTTTAATCTTGGCATTCACTTCGCCATGAAAAGACACACCTTGGACTAGTTTCCGATAAGTCGAACGCATAATTTTGTCGGCAAGATTCTTGGAGTGCTGGTAACGGCGTAGCCTTAGGAGCCGGCACATTACTAAATTTTAAAAGTTTTAAATCTATAGAATTGAAGATAATATTATATATTATCTTCGTTTTTTAAACACTCGTTTAAATGGGACAGGACAAAGCAGTGTCGTTGGTGACCGTGTGCTTATCAGGGAAGTCCGCCAAGTTACCGTGGAACTTTGAATGGAGACCTGGGTAGATCGATAGTCTATAAGGTTATTTACAAATATAGATAGCAAAACTGCAACCTGCATTTCACAAGCAACTTATGAGCAGGTAAAGTTTGTAATGGTGCAGTAGGGTGGAGGCTTGGTGGTGAGCTGTGAAGCATAAGCGAGGAATCGCATACGTCGAATCGAGTCGTGGTGGTTCAGTGGTAAGGTTCGACGTTCGACGACTCGATTCGACGTATGCGATTCCTCGCTTATGCTTCACAGCTCACCACCAAGCCTCCACCCTACTGCACCATTACAAACTTTACCTGCTCATAAGTTG